CATCTTCAAAGAATGTTGGAAGATTTGTTAAACAAAACTTTCCCTTAGTGAAACCAATGCTGACTCTTTGACACTATATCAAACTGCTTTAAATGACTCTGCAATGCATCTTTAATCACTCTACAAAACCTTTCCAACTACTGATGTAAGACTAACTGGCCTATAATTGCCTAGACAGTGTTTATCATCTCCTTTAAATATTGGACTAACATTAGCCAACTTCCAATCTTCTAATACTCTTCCACTACTCAATGACCTATAAAAAATATTAGCTAGCAGCTCACCTTTAAAACTCTAGTATAAAAGTTGTCTGGTCCAGGGGATTTATCAATTTTGAGATTTCCCAACTTTTCTCTTACAATTTCAGAACTTATAATGATATATTTTACATCAATATTTCCCCATACATTAAGTGCTCTGGTTGAGGTATAATACTTGTATCTTCCTTTGTAAAAACTGAAGAGAACATATCATTTAATAAGTTTACCATCTCATAATCTTCCAAGATCAGCTCCCCACTATCATTTTTAAGAGGCTCAATCCTCATCCTAACATTTTGCTTACTAATCATATACCTAAAGAATTCCTTATTGTTTGAATTAACTCTCACTCAGCCAACCCTCTTTCATATACAGTTTTGGCCCTTTTAACTTCCTTTTTAATCAGCTCTGTTGATATCGTATAGTCCTTCAATTCCTTATTATTTCCACTAAGTTAAAATTTCTTGAATTTTATTATGTTTATCCCTATCTCTTGAACCTTTACTAAACCATACTTGGCTTATTCTATTCTGTTGTCATTTTATTTCTGTTGGGAATATCTATGTTCTGTATGCATATCAATATTTCCCCAAATGCTTCCCACATCTGTTCAAGATCCCCTCCCAACTCTTTAGTCTAATCTACAGAAGCCAAATCATGTCTCATTCCATCAAATTGGCTTTCCTGAAATTTTGAATCAGGGTACTATTCTTCTTCAATTCTACATGTAGTAAAATCCCACACCTAATAGTGCAATGATCACTTCTACTTAAATACTCACAATCCACAACTTTGTCTATCACCAGTTGGTATATAAAAATATCCTGAACAATTTCCATAAACCTATCCCCCTCATTGTCAGACTTAAAATTTTCCCAATAAATGCCCCTGAAATTAAAATCTCCCATAATAACACCTTTTTCAGCTACCATTCTGATCTGGTGGTCAATAACAAATCCCAATTACAAGACTTTTCCCTTCATATCCACTAACACTAACTGACTCAATCTCAGTGCTGTTTTCTTTAATATATACTAACTCAAAAGGATGCAATTCGTGCCTCACATATAAAGCTACTCCTCCCCCTTTTTTCAATACTCTATCTTTAGAAAATAATCTGTAGCCTGATATTTGAAAAACATTTCTCATCAAAATTGTTCAAATCCAACCAAGTCTCAGTGATACCCATAATATCCAAATCCTCAGTTTCCACAACTGCTTTGAACTCATCAGTTTTATTTCTAATCCTCTTAGCATTACAACAGTAAAATTAATCATAGATTTTAAAATATGTTTGTTTTATGCCTGTTGTACATGTTTTCCTATCAATTATTTTTCCTATTTTACTAATATCATAGTCCTACTTTAAATCAACCACTACAGCTGAGTTAATAGCCCTGCTGACATGCTAGCCCCTGCCTTGTTTAAGTGTAAGCCATCCATTCCAAAAACATTAACTTTCCAATTAAAATTATCCCACAAATCCAACCAGCCTATTGATCTAAGCCTGGCATTCAATTCTAGTGACTTACTTAGTATCTCATCCCCACAATTTATTATTGGCAAAATACAGCTGTGACATCTTTCCTTAAATGCCCTCAATGTTTTATATTACCAATAAGCTTTCCCTACATCATTATCCCCAACATGAACCACAAAAACTGCATTGCTACTAGCACCCTTACTATATTTCTAATTCTATCAG